TAATCTTTTTTTTTTTTTGGGGGGGGGTCTCCATTATTGTTGGTTTGTCTACTTATATAAAACATACATAGGAAACAAGCTCGAGGAAAAAGCAACAGGACCAACAATTGCAGAGGGACTTGTGGGGAGGAGGAGGTGGGGAAGGGAGCAGTGAGCAAACAGCGCCTTAGACGGGGAAATCAACTAGGTGATTCAAATCAACAACGAGGAGGAGGACATAGAGATCCTGGGGGTGTTGGAGCAACAGCAATCTAACTGAGAGAAATTACTAAGAGGCAGAATAAGGGTGAACATGATGGTGAGGCAGGAGGAAGGTAAAAGGAGAGAGGAAAAATCTAGGAAACAAAGCTGTGGATAAAGGTACAAACATAGATGTATACTTATATAATACATTAATTCATAAAAATAGAGGTATTGGTCTATGTACAGATATTTATATGGCAATACACTGATGGGACTTTAGGTCTCTGCTGAAGCCCTGCCTCAACGCAAGAACACTTTGCTCTTATAACCTGGCATTCTGTGATGCTCACTGTGCTAACATGATTGTTGCCAACAAAAAGGGCACATAAGCATATGTGGTGAAGAAAGCTCATTACCCCCAATAAAAGGATTTAAAAAGAAAGGCAGCATTCAAGAACAAAGTACAGGGGCTAGGAAAGAAGTAGGCATGGAAACAGAATACACATGGAGGAAGCTGGCTAACTGACGGCACGTGGTGGGGATGGCAATGGGTGAGATGAAGCAAACTGTGTGGACTGTTAGATGGACCACTGATGATCTGCTCTGTACACCTTTAGCTATTTCACAATAAAAAGTTAAAATTACAAAAGGAGAAAGCTCTTTAACGTCTCATGAGTGGACAATGGAGTTTTCCAGAAGCTACATGCAAAACTGTATGAAGAAGCAGATACAAAAATATAAGCCATCTTCTAGTAAGCCAGAGATTAAGATTTTTAAAATTTAGAACAATGTGTTTCTATCTGAAGATGTCTTTGAAAATATTTCATTAAAAGTAAAAAGCATGCTATTCATGTTAACATGTAATAGGCATATTGTTTGTAATGGAATACATTTAAGGAGTTAAACACTTCTCAGTTAAAATTGTTAATCTGATAAATGTTGATATAACCCACAATACAAATGCTTAGGAGTCCTCATTAGTAATTAAATGTTAAAAAGTCTGGGGCCAAAAAATTGAACTAGATGATTTTGAGATATTATTAACCTAAAGATTGGCCATTCAAATTCGCCTGGTAGCACTGCAGAAGAAAGGTGTGGGAATGTGCTTTAGTAAATATTACAACGAAGAAGACCAAAAGGGGGCAGTTCTACTCTGTAATACATGAGGTTGTTGTGAGTTGAATTCCACTTGATGATAACAGGTTTAGCATGATTCCATAATACTGGGAAACCAGGCAGAGGATTTTCAATCAACTATTCAACTGTGTGTTAGTCTGGGTACTTTAGAGAAACAAATCCACAGAAACTCATGTATAAGAGAGTTTTATATAAAGGATAAGTGCACATCAAGAAAACATCCCAACCCAGTGCTGCTCAAGCCCACAAGTCCAACATTAACCCATATGTCCAACACCAGTCCACAAAGTCCTCCTCCATCTCACAAAACACACACTATGATGCCAACTGCAGGAGTAAAGCCAAATCAGTGAAGGTATAAGCATCTCAGTACTGGCAGGGGTCTCCACACGGGTGCTCCAGCACCCAGGGCTGCATCGGGGTAGGTCCATGTGGCTTCTCCTTGGGGATGTCTTGCAGGAAGTGAGCCTTGCCAGCTGAAGCAGGGAACTGGCTAAGGCAGCTGCACCCTGGTGCACCATCACAAAGCAAGAGACCTGAGAACTTGAAAGGGGAGGCTCACTGAGCCATTTATCCCTCTGCCCTTCAATTAACCCCACGTGTTTATCGGCCAGGTTGGCACAATAAACTAACTAACTCAAACTGTAACAATAAAATAGTGGTCTGAATGGGTTAATATATCTCTTATCACAATCTAAATTAGATATAACACCAGTCACATTTTTTAAAACAGAAAAATTACATTCTCACTTTGTCCTGTGAGATAGTTTATTGTGCCAGCCTGGCCAATAAACACAAGTGGGATTAACTGAAGGGCGGAGAGACAAATGGCTCGGTGAGCCTTGCCTTTCTTGTCTCTTGCTCTTTGATCATCGGACTGGTGTGCGGTTGCTTTGCTTGTTCTGTGCCTCAATTTACAGGCAACACTACCTGTGGGACGCCTAGCCTGTGGACTGTGTCGCTGTAAGTTGAGGTCCCTTTAAGACCACACGATTGAAATTTACAACTCCGGAGCTGGGGACTGACAGTTGGTGACCTGGCTGACACTTGGTGACCTGCTTGGCTGTTTTGCTGCCTGTGCTGGGATAGCCTAGCTCTCTCTCTCTACAGAGGACTACCGGGCGGATCTCAAGACTTAAAGGAATGCTAGTGTCTCACAACTCTCTTACGGGAGTGAGTTGCACTGAGCCATTTGTACTGCTTTATAATTTAACAGTTCATTTCTTGTGTTCTATCTATCTATCTATCTATCTATCTATCTATCTATCTATCTAATCTAGAATTATCATCAATCTGGTTTTACATCTCTAGGGAACCCTGTCTAATACATCCTGCAAAGAGATCATATATCAGATAATTCCTTTATGAGACCATTTAGTCGAATAACTGGCTTTAAGAATTTCATTAAAATTATACAAGAGATAGAGGGGGAGAAATATGGATGCCAGGAAATAAGCACAAGAAGATCTCTTCAACAACTATCAGAGAAACCCACCAAGAGAAAAGTCTTGTATTCCCCAATAGGCCCATTTGTACCAAAACAGAAAACCAAAATTAAAATCTAAGCACATCACAGTTTCGTAAAATTGGGAAGAGCAGCACCTGCTGTTTGTTGTCGATTCCCCCTCACCATTGACCTAGCTGCTTTGTGCACTCCCCGCCTCCTGCATAAACGTATTCAGCCAAGCCTATTGGCTCTCCAGCCTTGGGGGCCCTTTATGAAGAGCTGACTGCAGGGACAGGTTGGTGCAGACATCATTACTTCCTAGTGAGGGTGATTCCTCTAAGCGGTCTTCCTTACCTTTCCTCTCTGGCAGTGCCTTTGGTGTCCCTTGCCTCCCAAGCATGGTGAACATGTGTATTCCAAAGGACCAGGAATTATCACCCAACATTTTTTTTGGACATTTTGATTATTAATCCTTTCCCCTTTAATTCCTTTTCCCATGTGATCCTCCTGACCCACCTGAAGGTACTTGAGGCACACGGCAGACACAGGCATTCTTTTGAAGCCCCCCAACAGATCCAGGCATACCCATTCAAACTAGGTTTTTGTTTTTAAGTTAGGTTTTTTATTTTTATTTTCCACTTCTTACATTGTGTGCCCCCAAGGGCACACTTACATTCATGATGCTATAGCAACAGAGCTCCAGATCCACACCCAAGGAATGCCTTCAGGTTTTTTCCTCCTCTTTTCTGCTCCTTTTTTTTTTCTTTTCTGCTTCTTTATATCTTTTCCCTTTCTTCTCTCTTCTTTAATTTTACTTATCCTTTTAAACATACACATACATACATACATAACTCCTCTCCTTTTGGTCTGATTATTTGCTTACTTTTCACCCGCCCCACCCACTATCTCTTTCTGGTCTCCCTATTTCCTTGTGATATGTTTCCATATTACCTATTACAGTAATTCTTAATGGCCCTCTTAAAGTATATTTTCTCATTATTTTTACAAAGTTCATGGTTCATTCAGACAGCTAATAGTATTACTTTTATTTATTCTCTATTGCAACCTTCCTCACTTATCCATCTCTTTCTTTTTTCTCCATTTCACTAACATATGTTTCCTGGCTCCTATTGGATTTCTTGTGACATTCGAGAGAGCCAACTCCCTCTACACAATTCAGAAGCCTACAAACCACTAGAACCTGTTCCACGATGCCATGAAAACAGCAGTAAACTGTAGCACAACCCCCTCCAAATCAAGAACAAATCCAAACAACCGAGAATCGCTCAACCCCAGAAGCTACTATGAAAAAGAGCCCCTGCAATTATCAGACAGAGGAAATTCAAAAGGAATCCCAGTAGATAACAACAAAAAGGTGAGGGTATCCAAAGAAAGCCCGAGAAGGATGAGGGAAATTATCAAGAGAAACAACCTATATCTCATCAGGGTCCTGGAGCATTTGCATTCTTTTTGGAACATTTTAAATTTGTTCCAGTTTTTATTATTTTCTGCATTGTTTCAATTTAAGTTTTCTGTTTCATTAATTATTGTTGTTGGGGTTTAAAAGAAAATGTTTTTCTGTATTTGAAATCCAGAATAGGCAAATCTATATATAGAGAAACTGGACCAATAGTTTCTTAGGGTTATGTTAGGAGAGATTGGGTTGGGAGGGGATAAGGAGCTAATGAGTACAAGAACGAAGAAAATGTCCAAAAATTGATTTTGTTAATGATTGCACAATTCTTTTTAGTATGTTTAAGACATCAAATTGTATATGTGAATTATGTCAATAAAATTTATTATACACACACGACAAAAAAAATCCAACTATTAAAAAAATCATACCTTTTGCCAAACACAGAGACTTTTCTTTCAGATGTAGAAGATGCGGGTTTGTTTAAACTCAATTTTCCAAAGGTAGATTTCTCTTTGCTTTAAGAAAAATAGAAAGTGTCTTTAAAATAAATATCAAGAATATTAATTTAACAAACCTTTAGAACCATTAGAACCATTAACTCCCATTGCCCACATAGTTAAAAATCATAAAACTTTGCTAACATATTGTAAGTTCTTATGATAAAATGTTAGGAAGAACAAAATAATCTACATTAAAATTTCAATTACAGTGATATCTTGGTTGTTGAGCTCAATTTGTTCTAAATTAGTGTATGAATGAAAAGTTCAAGAACTAAAAAGTTTTTCTTTAAGAAATAATGGGGGCTGTCATCTCTGCACTAGGAGCAGCTCGCCTGCTATTGCCCCTCATCCCCTAAAAATGTATGCCTGCGCCAAATTTGTCTCCACCCCTTCCCTGGTCAGGAGCACCTCCCAGCTGCTGAGCCGACCACTGTATGTGTTGGTGCAGAAATGGCCCGAGATACTGACAGACGAGCGATTCAGCAGCTTGACAGCCCTACGTTACCAGACCTCACTTATCCCTAGTCCCAGCTTCCAAACCAGCACCGTCTCAAGGGACATTGACACAGCCGCCAAGTTCATTGGGGCCGGGGCTGCCACAGTTGGAGTGGCCGGCTCTGGAGCTGGCACTGGCACTGTGTTTGGGAGTCTCGTCATTGGTTATGCCAGGAACCCTTCTCTGAAGCAGCAGCTCTTCTCCTACGCCATCCTGGGCTTTGCCCTCTCAGAGGCCATGGGGTTTTTCTGCTTGATGGTGGCCTTCCTCATCCTCTTCGCCATGTGAAAGAGCCTTCTTCACCTCCCATAGTTTTCTGCCCCACGTCTCGTCTGCCCTATATGTTGCTTTCCCTGCACCTCCCTAGGCAGCCCGGGGAAAGAAATTGGCTCAGGGTTTGACAGAGGGAAGACAAATAAATACTGTATTTAAAAAAAAAAAATGGGGGATAAAAACTAGTTCTGAGACCCAAAAATGATACTTATAAATTCATTTTTCCAGGACTTTAAATCACTAGGGAGGCTTTTAGCCTTTAACATATCATGTTTTTGCCATGGACTTGTTTCTGATTTATCCAAATTAACAGCCACTTAAAAAAAAAATTAACAGTAACTTTTTAACCTCTTCGATGGTCTAAGTGTTTCATGGTTGATGGTTTCACACCTTTTTGTCTGAGCAAGAGTGTCACTTATACTGAAGGGTCACCCCTTGTGTCTGTTGTGAGACACAATGCGTGATGGCCTGTACAATTTTTTTCCAATTTGGATTTTCCATTTGACTGTAGAGCACAATAGCCAAAGTCCACATTATTGTAAGCCTAAGTATTTAAAAAACACAGTTATCATGTTAACTTGTACCTCGGTATTAGAGAAGGATTGTGATGACTCTTCTGTGGCTTATAAACAACCTTCTTGCTTTCTATTTATTTTTAGTGGCAATACGTACACACTCATCTATAATTCCTACACTAATAGTTTAATGACACTGGGTAAATACTTCTTACAGTAAGTCTAGTTTCCTTATTATTTTAAATTCCTTATGAAAATCTGTTCCATGATATTTATCCTCTTCAGCATGATCCATCTACTGTGTCCTTCATCAAAATGTTAGTAACAATAACTATCCACCACCTATTTCTTCTGGTACCAATGGTAAAGGAGGTAGTAGTTCATGGGGATAAACCATCTTCTCTCTTTTTTAAAAAACCCACCTTCTCTGTAATTGTTAACTAAACCACCCATGAAACCCTACAGAGGAGTCAAGGTCCAAAGAGATATATGCATACTCATGTTCATCAAGGCACTGATCATAAGAGCAAGAAGATGGAAAGAACCTAAATGCTCATTAATGGAAGAATGGATAGTTTGGTACATACACATAATGGAATACTATGCATTGATAAAGAATAATGATGACACTAAGAAGCAGGAATGGACTTGGGGAACATCAGGCTGAATGAAGTTAGTCAATCAACCACAAAAGGACAACTCTTGTATGAGACCAGTTATAGAGGAAAAACCAAAATTAAGGTTTTCATCCCAGTAGAAACAAACTGATGCTTGAGGCAGGGGCCGGTGAAGCAATAGCATGGGTTCTCAAACTTATTTGACCTACTTTCCCCTTTTCAGGAAAAAAAAAATTACTTAACATCTCTCTGGTTAAACAGGTGTTAACTCGGGTATAATATTCTCTAAGAAGGATTAGAGAAGTCAAGCAGCAAGGTTGGGGGGTAGGGGCGGAGGCTGAGGGTGCTATTGAGAGGCCTGGTAAGAACTGTTTAAGTACAAAACTGATTATCTGAAATGTAAATCCCCACCTAATTCACAATAAAATTAAAAAAAAAAATCACTCACAGAAAAAGTTTTAGAATAGGATATTTATTTAGATACTTCCTCTCTACTCCCAGGAAACCTTAAAGAAATGGACTGGAGAGGTGGTATTCTGTAGGCTGCTAAAGTTCATCAACTGAGCAAATAAAACCTTTGATTGAGGCTTTGGTAGTTGGATACACCTCACTAAATTGCGGTTCAGTCAACAGTTCCAGAATAAAGGAGGAAAACTTTTAGCATTCTTGGAATCTCACAAGTATAGTGCATTAGACAATTCAAGACATAGCTACGCACATGTGAAGTGAAAACTCATGAAGTTAACAATAAGAAAGAAAGAGTGCTTAAGGTAAATTATTTTTAGTGCTCCCAAAGGTGATTTGCATAGGACTTGGCTTTGGAACTTAAGAAACAAATGAGATAAACTACTATATCTGACACTGTGCCCATTCTTACCATTCTAGCTAACTGCTGCTGAGACAATTCTGACTCATAGTGACTCAATATGGCTATATTACCCTCACTGTAAACTTTACAGAAGCAGACTGCCACATCTTTCTTCCATGGAGCAGCTGGTGGGTTTTATCTACCGCATATCCTCAAGTATAAGCCGACCCGAATATCAGCCGAGGCACCTAATTTTACCACAAAAACTACATTAAAAATGAGCTGAAAAACTTGGTTTATCACGAGTATAGAAGGTACTGACCTTTTGGTTAGCACTCAAGTTCTTTAACTGTTGCAGCACCAAGGTTCCCTTTCCCTCTTTACTGATGCAAAAACAAGCATCACTGGGAACCGATAAAATTAACCAAGACCTCCCCTCCCCCCAGAAGAATCTACTTTAGAGGACAGCAATGAAGCTGCAGCTAGGGGAGAGGGGCATGTCTGATCAGAGCAAATGGGAGCACTTAGGGGGAGGAAGAGAGTGGAGCACATCCTGACCCACCAGGCCTGGAGGACGACATCCCTGCTCTGAACAGCCAATGGACAGAGTGGACAATATGGCTGATCCCACCACGAGACACACCGTCCCTTGATGGCCCCGGGCTCTAAGGGGGACAACACTGGAGATTCAGTGTTGGGACTGGCCCAGACTGACCCTGAGACACCGAGGCAAACGACAAAAAGCATGCTGCAGAGCAACCGTGGGAGCAGAGCAGAGAGCCCCTGAGGGAGTACAAAAGACAGACTCAGGGGCCATAGCATGGTACCCCATCTGTCCTTACTGAAGGACACGCCTAGAGATAAAATAATCAGACCTTGCTCTATATACAGGTTTTTCTTTCTGCTTACATTTTTTTCTTTTAATTAATTTATTCTTCTATGGGTAACTGGTTTCCTTTTTTGTTGCCATCGCTGTGTTCTCACTCATCGCCTATCTTGCTATGGCTTGGTTTTTGATGCATATTATTATCTCTACAGATCTATCTAGATAAGATAGACTGGATGAATAGTCTGGAGGAGAA